TATATATATATATATATATATATATATATATATATATATATATATATATATATATATATATATATATATATATATATATATATATATATATATATATATATATATATATATATATATATATATATATATATATATATATTCTTAATTTCTTAATTGGCTGGTCATCTTCTTTGGTCTCCGTTTCTTCATCGATAGCATCATATTCTTCTTTGTCACTATTTACGATGCTAGTTTTTATTACTTCTTTGTTTTCGTTGTTGGTTAAGCGCCGGGTTGGAAGTGAGGTTGTCTTTTTTGTTGTATATTTATTTTTGGTTTATTGATGTCGATTAGGACTGCTTCTGCAATTTTAAGATGCGTGTAGTTGCTGTTCTGGTATATTACTTTGGTGTTGCTGTCGAGGATTTCACGGCTAATTGTGATTGAGTGTGTTGAGTCCAAATGAGATTTGATAGCACCACTCTGTTTAATGCATCGTCAGCCTTCTAGTCAGTGAGGTAGTAGTAATCCCGATATATGAGTCATGTTGACGTGCACAGCCGTCAAAGGGGCAATTAAATTCATATATTACGTGATTACGCTTTAACTCAGAGTTATCTCTAGGACTGCAGTTGTTTTTCAGTATTAGGTGAGACGTCTTTTTATTGTTGTAATAAATTCGGAGTTTAACTTTACTATTTGGGTTGGAATATATATATATATATATATATATATATATATATATATATATATATACACACACAGAGAGATTGTGGGTCATATAGGGGTGTGAAATTACTAGAGCACGGAATGAAGGTAGTGGAGAGGGTGCTTGAGAGGAGGTTGAGAAGTATGGTGACAGTTAATGAAATGCGGTGTGGGTTTATGCCTGGTAGGGGAACGGTGGATGCGTTGTTCATGGTGAGAATGTTGCAGGAGAATTATAGAAAGAAAAAACGAAGATTGTACATGTGCTCTGTGGATCTAGAAAAGGCTGTTGATCGAGTACCGAGGAAGGTCATTGAATGGGCGTTGAGGAAGAAAGGAGTGAATGAGAGACTTGTTAAAGCTGTGATGCAGCTGTATGAAGGGGCAAAGACAAAGGTGAGGGTTGGAAGGGGGATGTCGGACGCTTTTAGTGTTAAGGTAGGAGTGCATCAAGGATCAGTGTTATCACCGTTTCTGTTTGCAATTGTGATGGATGTTGTGTGTGGAAACATAATGGAGGGGTTGTTATTTGAGATTTTGTATGCAGATGATTTAGTCTTGATGGCGGATAGCATGGAAGAATTGCAGTTAAAATTTGACAGATGGAAAAGTGTTATTGAAAAGTAAGAGTTAAAAGTTAATATTGGTAAGACGAAGGTAATGGTGAGTGGGGAAGGTGGGGAGCGAGTGATAAGTAAAATAGACCCCTGTGGGGTATGTGACAGGCGAGTGAAGGCTAACTTGGTATTGTGTATAGGATGTCAGAAATGGGTGCATAAGAGATGTAGTGGTGTGAGGGGGGCACGGAAAAAGGTGGAAGGCACGTTCAAATGTAAGAAATGTGATAATAGGACGGACGCAAGGACGGGGTTGAGTGGTGGTATTGAAAGAGTGGAAAGCTTTGTTTACTTAGGGGATAAGCTGAATGCGGATGGAGGATGTTTGAGCGCAGTTACAGCTAGAGTTCGTGTGGGATGGATGAAATTTAGGGAACTGGGTTATATATAGTGTGGAAAGAAATAGTCAGTGAAGATGAAAGGGAGGGTATATAAAGCATGTGTGAGAGCAACGATGGTATATGGTGGTGAAACTTGGGTGTTGAGGAGAGAGGAGGCAAGTGTACTGCAGAGGGCTGAAAGAGCTATGGTGAGGATGATGTGTGGGGTTAAAGTGAAGGATAGGAGGAGTAGTACAGAGCTGATGTCAATGATGGAACTGAATGAGGACATTGTGACATTGATAAGGAGATCGAAATTGCGGTGGTATGGACATGTGTTGAGAAGGGATGAAAGGGTCGGGATTAGGCGAGCGTTGGATTTCGAGGTTGAAGGAGTGGTAGGAAGGGGTCGTCCGCGATTGGGATGGAGAGAGCAGGTGGAGAAGGACAGGGTGAAAGCGGGGTTGCGTGATACTGAGGTGAGTGACAGATGTGGATGGCGTCGAGGGGTATTTTGGTTTCATCATAGGTAGCCAAACGGCAACCCCCGATCTCGGGGAAAATGCCGTCTAAACGTGTGTTGTGTGTTGAATATATATATATATATATAATCATACACATATACCAACCAACCAACCAACCAACCAACCAACCGACCAACTGACCGATCAACCAACCAACCAAACAAACAAACAACTAACCAATCAATCAACCAACCAACCAATACCAACCAGCCTATGAGCAAATCAACCAACCATCCAACATACAAACTAACCAACCAACCAACCGACCAACCTAACAACCAACCTAACAACCGACCAACCGACCAACCTAACAACCAACCAACCAACCTACAAACCAACCTACGAACCAACCGACCAATGAAACAACCAACCTACAAAACAACCAACCAACCTACAAAACAACCAACCAACCAGTCAACCAACCAGCCAACCAACCAACCTCTCCTCATACCAGCTCGATGTGCGGGACCATTATATTCAACATAATCAACGTACGTGATCAGTTCTGACCTGTTCTTCCTGTGGTTCTTGATTGCGTACGTCTGCAGGCAATGGTGGTAGTAATCAATTGAACATCATTTTTGACATGACACAACTCAACAACTCTACATTATAACACAACACATACACCCCATCATGCATATTGCTTAATGCATCATAAAACGTCAATAAATAATACACACACGTACACACACATACATATAAATCTACATGCTACAGAACACACACACACACACATCTCTAGATCCTATAACACACACAGCAGATCCACACAAACAACACCACACATACACACACACACACGCACACGCACAACAACACAACCTGAAGGGTAAAGCCACACGAGGACCCCTCCTTGTTCAATATGATGGTCCTCCGACATCGATTCTTCAGAGGGTTCGACTTGATCTTCTGATCCTCGTACAACAAACTTATCTCTTTGTAGGAGGCTGGCGTTGTTGACGCTGACGTTGACGTTGATGACGTTTTCTGTGGCCTGAAGCCCATGATGGATGGTGATGTCTGAAACATTGGTAAATATTTTTTATTCTTATTTCACTTTTAGTTACAATTTCATGATTGATAATAGCATCAAAGTTGTTGCTTGACTCAAATTACATCTGACACCAACAAAAAAACATTTGTCAAAATTTAATAAATTTTTCAGCATAAAAACTTTAAACATTCCTCAATATTTCATATTCACTCAGCTAACTGATAGACAACAACGGCTACAAAAACAATAGCATCAACAACAGCCAGCATAAAAACATCAACGTAATAAAACAACAACAGCAAAATATCTCAACACAACAACTACATAGAAAACATTAACACAACTAAATAACAACAACATGAAAAACAACATTAACACTAATAATACAACAATAATATGATACAATAAAGTAGCAGATATACAAAGATATTGAAATGCTATGTTAGGTGCATAATAGAACAATACAATACAATACAATGCAATACAATGCAATGCAATACAATACAATGCAACACAATGTAAAACACTAACATAACATCACAGAAATTATAGTGAATCAAAGATCAAACATTAACATACAATAATCAATACAATACAACATGGAGTACAGTACAGTAAAATACAATACAATACAACATAAAGGAAACACAAACCAGCACAATAAAACATACACAAAATACAATACAAACCTAAATAATACAATGCAGTACAGAAAAATACAATACAATGTAATAAAACAAGTATAGTAGAATAAAGTAATTATTTACTATATTAAATAACTCATATTACACTTGATGAATTGTTGACCATGTTTCATTTAAGCTTGAAACTTATCAAAATATTTTTTAGGTTTTTTGGTCTTTAATTATTTATTTTTAATACATTAAAAGCGGGACCTGCTACAACATTTCATCTTCTTTTTCAATAACAGTACATCGAACACATTAATCTTGTCTTCTGCTACAAGTACATCCCATTAACCATGCAAATGCGCACACACACACAAACACACAAACTCAGTGAACCACTAAAAATAAATAAAATTCATCTCGTAAAAAATTTAATATATAATTATAAATTTATTTATTGCAATAATTGTGAATGACTTGTTATACAATACAATTAAAATATAATTTATTTCATAATTGACACGACTTTCCATTAAAACTTACAGAACTATGGTCAGAAGATTTCATCTTCTTTTTCAATAACAGTACATCTAACACATCCATCGTGTCTTCTTCAATTAATTATTCTTCTTATTTATTGCAGGTTTAAAAATTCAGTTAAATGTTAATATCACATCATAACAATAAAATCAATTACTTTAATGTGGTTTTATTATTTGTTATTTAATAACTGAACTAAAAGCAAAAATAATTTTTTAAAAATAAATATTAAACAAAAATAATTTTTATTTATTTACCCACTTATTCATTTATATTTATATTTATTATTTATTTAACAAAATTTGTTAATAAATTGCCTTGCATTGAATGTAATATTATTCTTAATGGAGAAAAATGATAATTAAATAAATCACAAACTAAAATTAAGCAAAACTTTTTCTTTATAAATTAATTTTAATTTAACTGCCAACCACCTCTGCTCTACTAATTAACAAACTGCAGCTTAATCTAACACTAACTCATTTTATTTAATGCAAAAAATTCACTAAATATCCAAAATCAATAAAAAAAATCTAAAAAACTAAAAAAAATAACTTGAGGTTAATTATCAATTAATTAATTAAAAATTAATATCAGCTGATGGTGGAGAAGTTGTTACCAGGCAATGCTTGTTAGTAGAAAACTCGCCATCTTACATTACGATTAAGTTAACGTCAGTGACCTATTCCCTAACATTTTGTCAAAATTTTAATCCACAATTTTTATGGAAATCCAAATATTACCTAACACCATATATAATTATATATATATATATATATAATATAACATATTATATTAAAACATATTATATCTTATTATTATATTATAACGTATTATATTATTTTCTATGTTATAATATGTTATATTCTCTCTCTCCCCCTCTCTCTCTTTCTATATATATATATATATATGCCTAACACCGAATTCCGTATTTTTGGAATATGAATTTAAAGTATATGCCCATATAAATATATATATAATAAAGTATGCCTAACTATAATTTTTAGATATCTTATTATTGAAATAAAAATAGTAATTGAGCTACAGTACTTGACTTAATGTCTCTTGCTCATTTGAAAAATGGTCTGAACTCGGAAGATACACTACGAGACTAAAAATTATAAAATGTCTCAAATCTTTTTCTTACTGTTTTTTCTTTTTTTAATAAAAAAAATGTTTACAGTAAAAACGGTAATATGCCTCTTATGCTACAAAGTCGTTGTCATCTTTATGACTCTGCTGTCTTCAAGAAGCTTCCATCATGATCATCTGCAGTTAATCAATATGTATCATAATTATGACTCAAAAAACTGACGACAACTCATTTTTGGCCCAAGGAAGTTGATGTTAAGTATTATTTGTTACACAACACAGAAGCACGATATCAAAAAGAAAATTACTGAAATAAACTGAAACACCGTCTTGTTTTTAGCAAGAAGTCTATTTACAATATATTATTTCCTCATATGCAAGACAGAATTTTCCATTTGACTGCGTTGATTTTGAGAAGAAGTTTGTGATAGATTGACAAATTTAACTGATTGTTCATGGACAAACATAACCACAAACTCAGCGTTTCATGGCATTCATTTTTTGTGCACTTGGACATGTTAAATTTGTTAGGTAATGTACACTGCAATAACTAATAACATCGCGTCTTTATTAATGATGAAAAATTTAACTAATAAAATATAATAATAATAATAATATTCTAATAATAATAATAAATATTTATTTATCTCATCTTGTAGATAATTCCACCATTCTAGACACAAGATTACTTGTTTATAATGTCATTGCAACCTTTTTTACCAATCCATTTCATCTTAACAATAAAATCAAATGATTTATTTGCCTATGGGTAATGCCAGCGATTATCATTGATTTATTGGTATCGTTATTTTTTCCGAGACCAGTTAGTAGGGGGAAGTTTATTGAATGAATGAATGAATGATTGGATAAATGAATGAATGAGAGATTAATGAAATAATGAAAAATGAGGAACTAAGATGAAGAGTAGGTTGATGAGTAACTTTGCTTTCAGAAGATGTTATAAGAGAAATTTCTCTCAACGAAACGTTCACAATATCATTGAGCAAACAGTCGAAACCTACTGCATACATTAGCAGGACTAATGACTAGAGCATTTTTATTTACATTCTTTTGTTGTCTAATCGATGTAGAAAATGACCAGCCAAGCGTTAAATAATTGCGGCAGACGTCTGATGTATACGGGGAGTCGCTTTCAATAGGCGGACTACATGCACGCGTCGTCGGAGCGGAAATACCAAAAACAATGGCTTCTCTTAATGGATTTGTTTCGCCCGTTAATTATTTTATAACTACGTCATATTTACTTCATAATTAATTTATAATTAGTTTTTAGTTATTTTATATTCATTTCATCACTATTTTACAATTCCTTCATGTTTATTTCATATTTAGTTGAGAGCTGGTTTGCCGGTTACAAACAGTTTATTTTCACAACAAATTAAAAACTTCCAGAACTACGAAATATTTCTCGTTGCCCGATTACACGAAATACTGCTATAATAGGTCTTCCTCTCTCTCTCTCTCTCTTTTTCTCTCTCTTTCTTCTTCTCTCTCTATATATATTGTCATATATACACATGTACAAATATATACACAGACATATTTAAATAAAAAAATTCATAGAATTTAGCCAGTTATATCATCCCTGCTACACAGTTCATTACCTAAATATTATTTATGAGAAGTGTGACAAAAATTTGAATTGAATAACCGATTTTTAACTGTTTTTGCTATTAGCCAGTACCTACATTTTATACGGAGATACTGTGCTCGGCTCATGTAAATTATTTTCAATTTTGTAGAAGTTGTCAATTTTTTTATTTACGTGTGTGTGTGTGTGTGTGTGTGTGTGTGTGTGTGTGTGTGGTGTGTAAATATACGTTTATATACATGATAGAACTAGTATTTATTGAACATGTTTGTATGTACATATATACATAAACATGTATACATTTTTGTATAATCTGTTGTAAATAAATATGAGTAGCAATGACACTTCAAGGCGAATGAGTTGTTAATCATTGTTGAGCAGCTCAAGAAGATTTTGCTGACGAAATAATTTTTTGCCATCAAATTTTCCAGAGGTTTCCAGGAGAATGAAAACATTGTTGACAACACACGGGCTGTTGTTGGTGTTGTTGTGGTTGAGTTTCTCCAACGGCCAGTCATTTAATTATTCCAAGTACAAAAGTTTCTCCGATGATGACTATGGTCTGCAGTGCTACGCTGCTTCCCCCAAGGCGGAGGTCAAGGCGAGGTCAACTCTCCAATGTTCCGTCATTTGTTCTCGGTTCAAAAAGAGTTTCTGTAACGTTTTCAACTACGTGGAAGATTTGGTAAGTTCAGCTGAAGGTGGGGATGGTGGTAAGTGTCAAGTGTTTAGTGTCCAGGTGATGGATAAGAATTTGCTGGATTATGTGGACGGATGTTCAGCTTACGGGGTCAGTTGGTTTGAAAAAATTTCAAATTGTGTTCTTCTTAGTATTTTATGAATCATTTTTATGAAAAAAAAATGACAATCAGTTTTAAAATCATTATATTTTTTACAGACAGGTAACTTCGGTTAGATTTTTTAAATATTTTATTTTTTAAAAGCTCGTTTGAAACGATCATTTGCATTTGCAATAAATATAAAACCAGTTTAAAATTATGATTTCGTAAAACAATAACACAAACTGAAATATTTTTTGTGCAATTTTACGGCGTTTCATCACAACAAAAAGGCAAACTCTACGCCATTTATTCTTTAAACTTGAAAGTAATTTTGATTATTTTCTTCGTAAGATATTTTATAAAATTGGCAAGCATTTTCACATCTGACGTAAATATTTGAACCTGAATCAGATTACGCATACATAACGGTAAACAGTTCCTTGTGTGAGTTTCCATTCACTTACTCCGGACAATTGTACTACAAGTGCACCCAGCTGACCAACATTCCACAGAACATGGGGTTCTATTTCTGTTTGGTCAGGCCCCGAAACTTGGCAATTTGTGTCAATCCTTCTGGTTGGAATGGAAATTTTTGCAAAATATTTCTGATGGATTCGTGTCAATTATATGTCCTGTCATGTCAATTATAAGTCATGTCATGCCTATATGTATGACGGCCTCAAGATGTTCTGATTTTTATTTTGTTGAATGAAGTTTTAGCATGAGTTTCAGCGCTGATTTGGTTTAAGAAAAATTTTCACTATTATTAAGAGCATTAATTAGTTATTAATTTAACATTATCGCGATAACTTTAAATAAATTATGTACCCATCTCAAATGGACGTTGGTACCCTAGACTACATTGCTACTAACACAACCAAATTGTTGTCCGTTCCAACATTTGCTTCTCCATTCCCTTTGATTTCTGTTAATGACTGGATCGTCGTACAGCAGAGACTCGATAACAGCCTGAGTTTCGACAGGAAATGGGCCAGTTACAAGGTCTGATACGATGTGAAATTTCATTTTCACTAAAATTCGTTTATATTTTTAAATTTACCAAAAAGTTTCAGATTGAAATCTGTTATTCACAATAAATAATAAACTTTGAAAAATTAATTGTAAGTTTAGATCAGAGTTATATTATGACTAATTGAATTGAAACCGGAATTTTGTAAGTTGAAGACAAAATTAGATAGAAAACTGAAATGAAAAATTTTGAAAATCTGTTATTCTTTTTACTGCATCAATCTATTTATTAATGATAAAAATGTTTTAAAGGCTGGCTTTGGATCGTACGACTCAAACTTCTGGTTCGGTCTTGAAAAAATTTATCAGTTAACCAATTCAGGAAATTACAGGTTGCGGTTTGAAGTCTTGGGTATTGGAATTTGGTTTTCCGACGAATATGACTCTTTTTTGGTATACTGTATTTTTTCTATATAATGTAATCTAACTTTTTTAACGCTCAACTACAACTTATTCTCAAATTTCATTTTATAAGACTGACAAACCGTTAATGATAATTTTTCGAGTTTTTGATGTTTTAAATATTCCATTAGATTGATTCAGATTCAAATGACTACACTATCCACGTGTCTGGTTACAGCGGTGATAACTTGAACATTCTCAACCAACCGAAACTTCTAGGATCCACGACCTATCAAAATGGTCAACCATTTTCAACCACTGACAGAGACAGCTCTTGCGGATGTCCCGGCATGAATAATGGTGGCTACTGGCTGAACTGTTGCTTTGCCCAAAATCTAAACGCTGACCACAAAGGATATTTCATGAAGAAAACTGGCAAGTGGGAAAACCTCACTCACAGCAGAATCATGATTAAGCCATCTTAAAGGCAATGGAAAATATTGTTTACATGGATTTGTGACATAAATTTCCATTTTTGTAAATGAAATTAAAGATAATACCATCTACGGGCATTTTTTCTTACAGACACTTACATTTTAAAAAATTATTGTATTTGTCATGAACTTTTGACATTTTGTGCATTACAATTTTTTTGAATTATATAAAATTTGATAAAGGGAAATTAAAAAAATGAGTTTCCATTTTGAAAGATTTTTCGGAAGTAAATAACTTTACATACACAACGCCATACCCATCATCGTGGGAGCATTAAGAATAGTTTGCTTCATTAGCATATGTGATGGCCTTGCTAGGTCAGTGTCTGTCACAAATGAAAATGCTGAAGAATTTTTTTTCTATGATTTTTCAGAGTTTTCTATCATTATTTGTCTAATTATATTTTATATTAGTTTTGAGTGTGTGGTGTAGGTTTAAAATTTTTATTCTGTAGCAAAGGGAAATAAGTATTTGTTGTTAATGACGAAATAATTAGACAACTCGACAAGCAATTTAAAAAAATTTTAAATAAGCTTATAAATAAATGGAAAATTTTTTTAATTGAAAACATTTTTAATTGCAAATCATCTTGAAAATTTTTTTCCTAATTAAAAAATTTCAAAGTTTTCCAGCAAACTGTATAATTGAAATGAACAGGAGATGATTACAAACGCGTTGGTTTAAAATGTTAAAATGTTATCCTATCATCATAGCATCTGCACCAACAATCCAGGCTAGGTCAGCACGACGAAATGGAAACCGTCCAACGTCATATCTGAAAGGCGTTGATTTGATTCAGCGTGCGTTCATTGGAAGAAGATTTCAACGTTAATAGCTTACCTCCATCTATCATAATTTGAAAAAATTAAAATTTGAAATATTGCTTTAGCTGTGGTTGAGCAATATTGTTCTTATTAGCCCGATTCATTCAAATTATACGCCATTTATCACCTGCTGACTGGATGGGCTTCAAAATTTTTTCTATAGTATAGTTATAAAGACATTTTCAGGCGAGATCGGCTGAAAATAAACCTACAATGTCTGCCTGCATTGGTAGGCTAAACATAGGCATTGTATGCATAGGTATGATCAAGATATGATTTAAAGCTTTGTTGTTAGCACACAGTTATTTTTAAAATTCAATGAATTGTAATTAAAATTAATTGGCTATGCCATTCAGTGCTAATTAATTTTTAAAGCACTCATCAACGCTCAAATAAACAATAAGTTTCAATTTTAATGTGTAGTGTCTTAGAAATATTATTGAATCTATCGTACAAAAATGCACTAGATGTTTTTATGAACAACATTTTCGTTGAAATAAATTGAAATATTTTGAAATAAAGTTGAGTTTTGGGTAATTTTTATGATGTAATGTTGTTTTTGAAAGCAATTTAATACTGAATCAAAATGTTTCGCGTCATATAACATCCACTGAAACGCTAAAGCAACTCAAGAATGCACATGTCATCAGCGTTTATGCTATTTCAGGCTACGTGCACACTTTAAAGGATTTTTTGAACTGGGGGAATATTCATTAAAATTTTATATTAAAAAACTTAGAACAAGAATTCTTACTTATAGAAACACAAAAGTATGGAAGATTTGAAACTAATAACGCGAAAAATTAGGCGAGTAAGACATACCTGCTTTTGCCTCAAGCTTCTTGTTAGAATATTTTTATTATTTGGTCTATTTTGTTCAGAGCGGTGGCGGATATAGACAACTTTGAATGAGGGGGGGGGGGGGGTAAAATATTGAAAATGTTTCAATTTTTACATGGTGGCGGTGGCCAAAAAATTACCAAAGTTTGTAGTAGTGTGGCCAAAAGTAGGCTAGCAATCTTTGGGCCATTTTCTAAAAATAACGGTGTTTTTTCTGTGCAAAAACTGAGTTTTAATGACTTTTTATAAAAATAATGCTTACAGCGGGGAGGGCTATAGACCACCGCCCCCCGAAATCCGCCACTGGTTTGAGCCTAATATAAATTGTCAGACCAGGTTGTTAAACTGTTTTATTTATGCGTTGCATTATTTTCCTAGCAACAAAATCAAAAAATTATATGTTGAGTCAAGAGTTTCATTCAGTTTTGGGTACGTCAATATCTTGCCGTCAAGTAATTAAAAAAAAGAACATTCAAACGAAATTTAGAGATAAAATTGTTTGAAAGGTCTTAATCTAAGCTAATAAAAACGTACTGCCAATATGAAAAATGATGACAAGCGGAGAAAAGACGTGTGGAAGAGAACAATTTCATTTCAACTGAATGGTCTGAATGTGTTGTCAACGAAGTTTTTTTGAGGAGTAACTGGTTTTTTCATCATACACTTCTTCTTATTAGCTATATATCCTACAAATATACACATAGACACACAACTATACGCAAATAAAATATGGGCATACACAAATGGCATAGCAAATATATTTTTAAACCAAAGTTGTGTTTCATGTAGATGTCATGAGTAGATGTAGTTAGGAACATGCACTGGGTAGCTGGGTTGAAGTGAGAAAATGAACATTTCGAACGTGGTGTCGTACTTCATGCTCTACCACTTTAGTTTTAATTTCAATAATTATTGTTGTTTTAATTTTCCATCAATTTGAAATTAATTTCCAAAAGACGAATCAACAAGTCTCAGATATCATTTAATTTAAAAAAGTTTCGCCGGTGTTGAAGTAACAACGCATGAAATGTAATTAAATTTGTTTGGTCATTAAGTTTGTTTGCTGCATTAAAACAAGTTTTTATACTTATTATTTATTTTTCATTGAAAACTGGAATAAACTTTAAAACATTTCATTAATTTTACAATTTTTTCTTATTCCAAAAATGTTAACACTATCAAGTTGTTTTAAATTTCCCATTCCCATTAGTGGCCCTGACAAGATGTACAACACTGCAGGCACACAGGCGCACGCGCTGTTTCTTTGTGGCAGTGCATTCCAGTGAAAATGCAATTAACAATTCCATTCATGTAGCATAATTCATTTAAAAAGTTGCTATCATAATTTTTGTTCAGTTTTTTCTACAGTAATTAACACGAGGTACGGAGAAACTGGCTAAATTTGTGTGAAGCTATCGTTTGTTTATTAGTTGAGTTAAGGCTTTCGTCTCGAAAAGATGATGACGTAGATTACAAGGATGTCGATGACGATGTCAATGATGATGATGATGACGACGAAGATGATGATGCGGGATTCATGATAATGATAATGATTTTTCAATTACAGATAATTACAAGAGTAAGAACAAAGACAAAGTTTATTTTGAATAAGACGGTGATGACGACGATGACGATGATGTTGTTGTTGACTGCAAAACGATTGCATGTGCTTATGATGGAACAACAAGTACAAACGATATATATTAGCCCTTGTTGCAGTAGCTTATTTCGAGTATTTTTGTTGTCTCAGTGTGTTAGTGTTGAGGAGTTTGTACAAAAATTCAATCTTTTTTGAGGTGAAATGTACAGCACACAGTACATATTTTATTTCCTTATTTCAAGAATTGAACTTAAAGACTTAGTGTCCTGTCTGTATATTTTTCATATTAATATTTAAAACAATAAGATTGAAAATGCCTCCAGTCAAGCATTATATTTTCATCAAACAAACATCCAACAAGACGAGCCAACGTGTCTTGCCTGTATATTTTTCATATTAATATTTAAAACAATAAGATTGAAAATGCCTCCAGTCAAGCATTATATCTTCATCAAACCAACATCCAACAAGACGAGCCTTATACATGTCCGGCAATCACAACATCATCACTCAAACTATTCCATTTATTTACCGCTCTTTTCGAAAAATTAAACTTTCCATGACTCGTATTAAAATTATGTGAAGACATTCATCAGCTTACTCTTAAAAACATGCTTAATTACATACTTACACATACAAATTTACATTCACAAACTTATATAGGAATGAATAATAAAATATAAGCCAAATATAAGTCATTCATTATATAAGTCCACATTCGAAATTGACTTCCGTTGGTTATAATGAATGTTTTTCAGCTGAGTGGATACCAAAATATCTTGACAGGAACTGACTGAAGTGACGAACATGGCATTAAATTACGAGCATTACGACACTGTGATGGGGCTGATGATGAAAATGATGATGATGAAAATGACGGTGAAGAAGATGATGAAGTGGGTGGTGAAGAAGAAGATGATGAATATGATGAAGAAGAAGAAAATGATGATGAGGAGGAAGAAAAAGATGATGTTGAAGAAGATGATGGTGAAGATGTTTTGATGTTACAGACTATTTTCTGTTGATCTAAATTAGAAACTCACCCAACTGACCCACTGAAAATAATTGATTGGCTCGTTACTTTTCTAATTTCTTTATGACCTCGATTGCTAAAAAATGGTTTATATTTGTGATGTTTATATTAGTGAGAATCTTAATTGTGGTACATAACTAGATGAAAATGTGTTGTGAGACTGGTGCATAAGTATCGTCAGTAACGGTGTCATTTAGAAGTACAATGATGGTGAAGATGATGATGACTAAGATGATAGGATTGATGAGGATGATGATGAAGATGATGATATGTTTTTGATTTGTTAGAGTTGCAAGTTGGTTTAGTGCAGTGATGAATCTTCAACTCCCTGGAATGTTATTTTCCATTTTTGATTCCAGGAAACCAAGAAGGTGTTTCTATTTTAGCCATTGGTCTTTTAGCATACAACTACTGCTGCTGATGCTGCTGCTACTACTACTACTACTACTGCTGCTGATGCTGCTACTACTACTACTACTACTACTGCTACTACTACTACTACTACTAGCATTTTCTTTAAGTTCCAAGAAATCAACAGCCAATTTTAAAATTGCAGTTTTGGTCCCGTTACATTAAATTCAATCCAGCCATTACATTGTTTGTTTAGGAAAACCATTGCAATCATCAATAATAATTACACTGATACTTCTACCACCACCACCACCACCACCACCACTACTACTACTACTTGTACTACTACTACAACTACCACAACTACTACAACTATCACTACCACTATTACAACTAGTACTACTACTACTAATTTAACTACTAGACAACTATGGTCAATTTTATCACTTTTAGTGCTACTATAAAAGCTGAAAATACTTCTACTGATTTACTAATTTTCAAGTATAGCTACTTTTATGGAATGGGAGAAATTTAAACGATAGTAATAGTCAAGGTGTTGGAGTTGGTCGGACGAAAAATCTCCGACCAACTCCAACACTCTGGTGATAGTACAACTAATGCTAGTAGTACTAATGCTACCTCATCCTCTTTCTCTACTTCTATGACTAATTTTCATCCAGAAATTTTGCAAAATATCCTAGCATGAATATGTTTATGTAGATGTGTGAATGTTTCTTTCCACATTTAAAATTTTAAATCAACCAGAGAAGAAAAAAATCACTATTTTGACTATTTTTCGTTTGTCCGTCTTTAGATTACACTTTTTTTTTCAAACCATTCAAAGTTGATTTTACGGTAACTGTTAATCTCATTAACTTTTGAATACAAACAATTTATATAAATTACAGTATGAAGACTTGATCGAATAGGAACTTCATTTGATAAGCAAAGCAGCTTCTGAGCGATTAGCAAGCGCTTCAAGATAAAAAAAAAACATGAAAAGAAGCGAAAAAATCTGAAGAACAAAACTTATTTTCTAATTTTGTTTGCAAATTTCAAAAAACTAATACTATTTCATTAGTTAAATACAAAATTGATGTATACTACCCTTGCAATATAATGATTATTCGATTATTCTACCTAGGTACTTGATTCACGCCATTATATTAACGAATTTTGTTTAAAAATAAAGTTTTATAAAAAGTTTTTGATAATTTTTTGAACATTTCATAAAAGTGCCAAGTTAAACGAAATCTTTTCATCCAAAAATTTTACTTCCGATATTCTAAAAATTATTGAAAATTTTACCTCTGCTGGCAGTGACGTCACTACTACGTCATCGCATAAAATGTGAAATGAAAGACAAATTTATAATAAATTTATATTTTACGTTTATTTTTATCTGAAATTAAATTTAAATCAGAAAATTTTATTTAAAGAAAAAACATAATTTGTTTCCAGTCTACAGCATAATTTCAATTAAATTAAGCGCCAAATGAATAACTTGCCAAAATTTTTCAATTTAAAAATCCCTAGTGAAATTAAAGTAAATAACTGCAAAGTCTGACCAAAATTGTTAGAAAAAGTCGTAAATTTTCATCAATTTAATCAATCTCAAAAAAGTTCGAAAGTAATACCTTTTTAACCTATAAAGCCGAAATAAAAAAAAACTAGACAAATACGTAAATAAGCAAGCAAAGAAAATATAAAAAGGTTTGAATAAGCAAATAATTTAATAACAAATTTATCAAAAAATCAATTGAATTCATGGATAAATAAATAAACAAAAATGTATCAACTATAAAAATATGTAAAAAAAAAAGTTAAAAATACCATGCAAACATTTGGGCAGACAAATCTATTTTCAGCTCGTGGATTCTTGTTAATGGAATAAAAATAGAAATAGAGAATCGAAATGTCACACCTAATGATCTTCTCGAACTAACAGGAGAAAGAACCGACTTTACTATAAACCTTTTTTTAAATATTTAAAAAATTTGATCATGTCTATTAGCCACCTTTCGCTTTTGATTTAAATTTATATTTTGTTCAATAAAATATTAAACATTCATTAAAATAATCATATTAAATAGAATTGAATAAAATTTAGATAAAAAAATCCTTGTTTGTCTGCATGTTTATAACATCATTATAATCAAGAAATTTTAAAATAGAAATTGAGCTATAGAACTCAAACTCAAAATTGAAACTTAAACACAAAATTGAAACTTAAACTTTACATAAATTTTTAATTAAATCCTATTAGTTAAACCTTTTGCAAATCGCAATGAATTCAATGCAGGACCAAACGTATATTGCATGCCATGACGACTTGAGCAACAAACACACTCACTGATCCTGCATACAATTAGTGCATGCAGTTCTGATGACTCATATAAAAGGTATGTTCTGAAGTTGTTGGCCGTGCAGAAATTAATGTTAAGATTATAAATGTTGATGTTTCAACTTAAAAAAAATCAATTATTCTTACAAATATATTACATTTCATTTAAGATTTTTAATAAAATTAAAACTGTTTTATCTATGAAAAATGGTTTTGAAATATTTTGAATCATTTAGATTTTTATCTCTTTTAAAAATTTGTTATCACTAAATGAATAATAAAAGTTACAGAAGTGAAGGAGATGAGTTTCTCAGAAATTATTTTTCCGACTTGAAGATTCTGGTCGAAGGGATAGCCGTAATAATTTCCCTTCTCGTCAACGGGTATGTCCTCATCTCAACATGTCGAATTTCAAGATGGAATCGGTCGGTTTGTTTTCGACGGCAGTCCCTCTATACCTTGCTTTTCGTTAATTTAACGGTCGTCAACCTCATCAGTGCATTTCTGATGTGGTTCTCCAACAACGTTTTCATCATTTCCGGGAAGTGGCCCTGGCTTCCGCTCTCTGCAGACCAGCTTGGCTTGTGTCGCTTCATGGCTGTCTTTGTCTACCTGAGTGTCATATCCATGATCATCAACGTCGAAGCCACTGTTATTATTTTTGGATTCTCGGTGGTGCAGTGTGTGGCAGTAAGCTGTCCACTCAAGCAAATATTTCTACTGACCAGGAGAAATGTTAAAGTGTTTCTCTTCACTTGCTGGATGGCCGTTTTCGTCGGCTGGCTAGTTATTTCTGTGTTTTTGCTCCCAGACTCCAGGCAGACGTTCATTCACAATTCCGTTCAACCGACCAAACTTCACAACGCTTCAATTGTGAGAAACAATTCTCTTGTGCAATGCCAAAACTGCGACAGCTGTAACAAAATTATAACAATTTTTTATAACAACGAGTCAAACAGTTTCAACTTCTCTTATGACGACATTTGCTCAAAATTCGACATGATTGGAGAGATTTCATCTTACGCTTTCAACACCTGCATTGTTGTTATACTTATTTTTTTCACTCTAGCAGTTCTGCTCCTGATAACAACTTTCTTCAAAATTAAAAAAGCGAGCCAGAAATTATTGGCATTATCATTGAGTTCGTCGGCAAATAAACAGAAAAACAGGAAAGCATCGTTTTGTTGCGAAAACAGCTGCTCGGTTAATCATAACAGCTTCTCGAACGACACCAACAAACAACAAAAATGTTCGGTTGAGCTTCACGATGATAATAATTTCCACAATAACAACTACAAATACTCAGGCAATAAGATTAACGGATGTTTTCTTAAATCATCAACCAACAAAAACATAAGAAGCTTGAACATTGAGAGATCGTTCCCTCGAGATAGGCACGATGGATCTCCACGTCGTCTCTGTATATGCTATCACTCTTCACTGCCAAATTCCGTTGCACCAAAAATTAAATTGGACAACAAAACGCTTCACATTATGAATGCAATCGATGACTTCAAATGTGACAGCAACAATTTAGACACATCAACCAATGAAAGCAAACGTCCATACAAATACAAACATTATTACGAAAAGAATCACACGTTCAAAAATAACCGCATTGAAAACGGTGACAATCAAAACGCTAAGGTAAAATTTTTCAGAGTTTCAAGTTCGAATCATGCCAGCAACAAATACTTCTGTTCACGCAATCCATGCACACGCAACGACAAGCGAGCATTCTTTACCATCGCTTTGCTGACCACTGTCTTGACCATCTATCTACTGCCAATGATCATCATCAACCTGCACTCCGACCATAATGACCACAGCACCTCCCTCTTCTACTTCGTTACTGTCACAGCCTACGCCAAGTTCATCATTGATCCCATCATATTTGGATGCCGAATGTCCGCCGTGCTTCACAAGCTCTCAAGATGCTTGCACGCTCGCAAATATAAATCATGACTCGGCAAGCAAGTTTTTGCTCTAAGTAAAAACTACATAGGTTTGTTGGTATTTTGACATTGACCAAAATTTAATACCTCCAAGATCGAATATCATTCATGGATGAATTTGAAAAAATTAGTTTTATTTACAATGACGCTAACATTAACTAACACGACTAACTAGCAACAACAACTAACTAACAACTCACAGCAATAAACAAACATAAAAGACACATCAGCGTAAACCATGAAAATTAAAAGTAAACTTCAGTACCACAGACCCAAACACACATGGATGTTAAGCCCAAATTGAAATGGACGGAAAAGAACTCGCTTAATGAAAGAAGATGATTTATCGACGTGCCAGCATTGATACATTCGTGATTGCTAAGCTTAGTTCATCATTCGCTGCAGTTTCATATTTTCCAGTTCTGTCACGCTGTCACATTCGTATTATTGTTCTTACTCATTTTAAATGAAACTGTTGCATTTCATTTGCATGTGCGTAAATCAGGATATTTTTATTTGGTATCTCGTCAATGACAGCCATTATCAATATTATTATAATTATTATATAATAATAATAATTATTATTATGGAAATTATTTTTTTAGGTTTCATTACGAAAAGTCAGAAGAAAATAAAATTTAAGTGGTTTTCTTCCAGTTGAATAACATTGGCGGACGTTAACTGCAGCAGACTGAATGCATTGGTTGTTTGGTCTTTCTTGTCTATGAAAAATAAAATTATTTCCTAAATTTTTATACTTTAATAGTTATTTCAGATAAAAATAAGCACGTCGATATAAATTTTATTAAAATGTTGTACAATTGTTGCTATGTGAGAAATAATACATGTTTATGAACTGCTTTCGTTGAAAATTATTTTTAAATTATTAGTTTGAAAGTAATTAATAGCTAAAGTTTATTAGATTGGAAGCATACCTCGTGAAATCTCATTTTACAGCGCGCTGTTCAAATTTTTCAAATCATAGAATGATTTAATGGTACGCTGGCAAGAAGGCATAGATACCTAAGAAAAAAAAACACTTTAAAGATGATGAGGATATGTTTGTTGTTTTCAAAATCTGAAATGAAAAATAATTTTGTTTGTTCTAGAAAGATTTGCGATATAAATGCAAAAAACCATAAATATTATGTATATATATTCATGAAAAAACCTATTTTAGCTAATATTTGATAAAACGGCCACTTCTAAAAACTTGCTTAATTTATTTAATTACGAGATTTAAAATTATATGAAGTGGTAATATATATCCATGGTGGTAACTTTTAAAAAATTTTCGTATCAAACGTTATTTTTCTACAATTATTTCTAGTTGGGCATATTTCAAATTTTTTCAAAATTTAAAATAAATAAATAAATAGTTTCATCAAATAAATGTCATTCAAAAAATTCTTGTAAAATTAAAAGAACATCTTGAATTATTAATTCAACTGCCTGGAAAAAAGTGTTGAAAATTTTTTAGATTTTTCGCGAAATTTTGCCGCTGAAAATTTTTTCTCTGCTTTAAAAAAGTAAATTTGTTGTAAAATGTAGGAACGAATGCAAATACCGCATTGTAGTAACGATCGGTTACTGGGGCCAATCCAGACTACATCGAAATTGTGTACCAAAATTTTGAATTTTAACACCTAAAAACACACCAATAAGTTATATTATAATTTAAATGATTGCAGTGTCTTGTTTATTTTTGTTTGGTCTAACGAGATAAAAAAGGGAAATAATTACAAAATAATTTTTTGGGGTAGGTAAAGCATACTCATCGAAATTTTTGGTTTAGACTATCATAAATACAATTAATTGTACATTACCATCGGTATATGGTAGAGTCCCGAGCAGAGAAGATTTTTCCAAACCGCTACCGCCCGGATCCGATCCGCGAAAAGGTAACCTAAATAAACTTTTGAGGAAGGATATTCATGTATGATGCATGTATGTCGGAGGTGGGCAAACTTTTTGCTGTGAGGACCGCATTGGGAGCTATCCATCCATCCGTCCATCCATCCATCCGTCCGTCAGTTTGTTCGTTCATTCAGTCATTCATGCATTCATTCATTTTTTCATTCACATACTACCTTGTTTTTATTTTTTCATCCTCATCCTCATTGTCATCATAATCATCATCTTCTTCATCCTCATCCTCTTCATCATTCTCATCGCCGTATTCATTATTATCTCTACATACAAGACATAACAAATGTTGTAATCTTCTCTCATCATTGCTGTAGCAGCAGGGGATATTCTGTGTATGATATATTCCGTCATTCTATTCGAATATTTCTCAAAGGTTTAAAGCGAACTCCTCCATGTTTATTACGTTACAGCTTCCATGGAAACCATCAAAAGAACTCAAGAAAATAATTTTTTCTTGAGAAATTAATAACAAATTTGATAACTTTCTCGTTATTTCTTTATTAAATATTTTCTTTTATGTTCATTTTTGTTAATTTTGTCCAATTATGAAGAATAATTGCCTTCAATCTTGCAATAAGTGCTTCGGTTTAATTATAATTAATAATTTCATAATACCATGGGGGATCTAGGAAGGAGGGGGTTCGGGCACGCCTCCTCCCCATCAGACAGACCGTGAAAGAAGAAAATATCCAAAACTCCGTGTAAAATTTTAAAATGTAATAATAAAGCGAACGGAAATTAGCGATAAAAATGACATCAACTTGAAAATTTTGAAAATCACCCCCCCCCCACGTTAACCGGAATAAACGGAAATTAGCAAATATTAATAGGTCATCAACTTTAGAAATTTCAAAATCATTCTTCATCACCGCAAAATTTTGGAAAAACCACTAGATTTGTTTAAACAATGGATATATAATATATATCCATTGTTTAAACTCATCCATTGGTTACAACCATATTATTTGAATGGTAATACCAGCAACCACGTTTGAACCTTTTTATGTTGTACAGTTAAACCTAACAATCAGGGGTGGCAAACTACGGCACGTGAAGCTATTTTATGCGGCCCGCGAGACCAAAAAAATGGTTGTCCATTATGACCAAAAAAAGAGCCACAAATCTTAAACAATTCTCATCCCTCCCCCGGGTCGAAAAAATTTGCTATAAAAGTACATTTGTGGCCCTTCAAAGGTAAAATTGTTCTCAATGCGGCCCTCACGTCAAAAAGTATTCCAACCCCTGCTCTAAGTAGTGACGAGCGTATTTCAAATTTCATGGCTTTTATTAACATTAATTTCAATATCGTCTTATTATCTATTCTTATCATCATTATAATCTTATTATCGCTATAATTTTATCATCTACTATTATTATTATTATTGTTTCTCGTAATACTGATAACAAATTAGATGTTAGTAAGGGCTTACGTTAATAACACTTTCGTTGAATGATTCTTTGAAGTGACGTTTAAATAAGTTAAAATAATTGCAAATAAATATCTAATAGTAATAATAAATAATTATAGCAATAATAATTATAACAATAAATAAAAAAAATAATTTAGAATTCCTATTATTTTTCAGACAATAAAATATAGTAAGAGTTTGAAAGAAGATTAACTTGAAAGCCTCTGCCGCGTATTTCATGCTTGACGGCTTCTTTTAATCACAATGGAAAGAGAAGAAAAGATTTTGTTTTTTGTTTCTTCAAAATAAAAAAATAATAATTTTGCTACATGTTTTTTCGCTTTTTTGTTAACTACAGAGTGTCGGAGTCGCTAGTTGTTGTCGTTAGTAGGAGTCGCGAGTAGGAGTCGCGAGTCGTAGTCGCGAGTCAGAGATTTGGGCCGGAGTCGGAATTTTTGAGTGCCCCGATTCGAAGTCGGATTTTTTATCCGACTCCGGAGAATGTTATTATTTTTTTATTCTGAAATATTTTTAAGATGGTGTTTTTTGGAAATTAAATGTGTGTAGCAATAGGTAATTTATCTGTAATACAGAAAATGAATGCTAAATGATGTCAATAAAACCACATAATTTTTTTCAGTTAGTTTTAAAACGTAAAAATAAATTAATTTTACTAAGAAAAACAATTACATTGACTGATTTTAAGAGTTTTTTAAAGTATCTTCTATTTACTAGGTATAATAAGGTAACATTATGATGCAAAAGTTAAACTTTTTTTCTGGGAGTCGGAACCCGGAATCGGAGTATGGTTAACCAGAGTGTTAACCAGAGTAGGGTTAACCTAGAAATAACCAGAGTGTCGGAGTCATATATTTTTCATCCGATTTCGACACTCTTGTTAACTCTGTAATTTTTTTTCAATATAATTTGTCCACTTCATATTATTTATTTCTCTTCTCTCTCCCTTCTCTCTCTCTCTCTCTCTCTCACTCATTTCTCTATAGCACTTACATTCATGAATGTTTGATGATCATTATTCACCTTTGAAATTATTTAGCCCATAATTTTTGTGCAAAATTGATGAGTGCTACACAAAACTAATAACTCTTTTTAGATGGATGTAGTAGTTAAAAAAATTCATGAAATAAATTATGGGTTAACGTTTAACTTTTTACTCCAACCGAAAATCAGCTTACTCAAATGTTATGCATCATCTTTAACGTCGACAATGACAATGAAAAAAATATTGGTGATTGGTGATTACATTTTAGCCCTCCCAAATAATTTCAAATGAATGCTACGTTACAATCATTAAAAAGTTCATGATCGCCAAAAATATACGAATGGATGGATATGTTTCGTATTTGTTGTCTCTATGAAAAATTTCGTAAACGTTAGCTGCTATTTTGGAAGTGATAAAAAAAGACCAGATACGAAAAATATTAAAACCACTGGCTTAAAGCTTTTGACTCAGCGTATTTGAAGAACAATGCAAAAAGTCAAATACAGTTGTGATGTATGTAATCCTTTTCTACCGTCACTCATTTTCTGACTAACTTTAATTTGGCTTTTCAAAAAAATTTACTACCTATAATCATGATCAACGCTGCTTTTTTGTTTAATGAAAAAAACATGATAGGGTAATATAGAGTAACTTTTTAAAGCAAACTTTTAATATTTTTCACATTTAAATGATGTGTTGATTTCAAAACACCAACGAGTTTGACGCCAACAATAATTTATTTTTTCAATCCATGAGCTGAGCCAAAAAATAAAACTATTCGGTTGGGCTAGATGGATCAAAGGGATGGACATCCAATGATGGGTCCCATCAAAGGGTGAACCCTGGACATCCAATGGCGGATGCCAATAGCACGTGGGACAATATGCAAAATACAGATAGGTATAACATAAAAACACAACATAACAGGGTTTAAAGTGGTCGAGAAGATTAGAGCCTGTGAGAGAACCACTGCGAGATAAGTGTCCTAATATCCTAACTTTCCGAGCTTGATCTTGAAACTGTTGATTGATTTCGCGGAGACCGTCTCATCACTCAGATCATTCCAGGTGTCTACAACTCTACTGCTGAAGAATCTTTGCTTGACGGCACTTTCCATTTGTTTGAAGAGCTTATATCTGTGGCCTCGTAATCTTATTCTATTTTCCAGTTGAAAAAATCTGGGGTTTCTTCTTTCTTGGTAATCAAGTTGTTTGCCTGTATCAGTTCAATTTTTATACCTGTATAATCATATCTCCTCTACCCATATTCTTATTAAATTGTTTCAGATGAAAATAGTCCTAGTACATAGATAAAACCACATATTTAGAGTAAAACATAATAGGATGATTAAAAAGGATAAATAGGATATTCTGACTAAATTGATGGGATAAAATATACCACAAGCCATCTCTAGACAATGGCCAACTAATTCGCTGTAGAAAACAAAAACATTGGTCGGCTCTTTAAATAAAATCTTGTTAATTAAAATTAATTAATTAATTAAATTATTTCATTTATTATAATTCATTTTTTGAATCTAGTTTCTAGTAGATCGATAAATTTTAATTTTCAACCTTTTTAAAAAAATTTTCGATGTGATGATAAAATTTGAATTTTGAAAGTAAATTTCCTGAAGAAGATTAACATTAAAAAAATTAAACATTAAAATTTAATTTAAATAAAAGTTTTTTAAGGTAGGTTGTTATTTTATTTTTTATTTTAGTTATTAAATTGTTTTCATATGAAATCTTTATTTTATATTTATTATTGAATTGAATTATTCATTTAATAATTTGTAATCACAGTGTAGCAATGATGAAGAAGTCTGAGGAATGTGATTTTCAGTGGATTGAGTTGTCAAAAGGCAAAGATGCAAGAGGCCAACAACTATATGAGTTAGTTTATTTATTTATTTATTAATATATTTTATTTATAATTAGTCAATCAGAGTTGTCTTTGGTTTAGTTTTTAGTACTAGTTAATTAGTTGCTTAGTTGGTCAGACATTTTTTCAATGATCTATTAAAAATTTTCATCTAATGAAATAATTCATATACTTTTTTCCTGTAAGGTTTTATTAAATTTTTTTAGCAAATGTCAAAATTGATTGATGATTGATCATTTGATGATCTTCTATTGAAACTTAAATTCAATATTAAGCCATTCTTTGTTTGACTTTAATTTATTTTAAGTAATGTTTACAGACACAGTAATAAAAGTTGATTATAAAATACAAGTATCTTGAAAGAATTCTTTGTCATTATGGTGAACATTGAGCTTCATCTCAATGTTCACCAATTTATATATATTTATTTGACCTGCTTTGCTTACTACTGTTATCATCTGAACATTAGATCAAATAATTTAAAGATTAAAAGGGAAATTTATTAAAATGAAATTGAAATTAGTGCACTTTTACAACTCTGGGTCTCCTGCTTCTGTTACAGACGAATGAAAAATCTTTTGAATTTGAATTGTTGACAGAAGTTGCATGGTGAATGATGCATTGATATCCTCTGGTGATTACGTCCTCATCAACAATTACGACGATCCTGAGAATGAAAACACTGCCTACATCGCAAAAATCGTCAAAATGTTTCACTCAGGTCCGTATATCTTTTTCTTCATCGCCTTCATCTTCATTTCATTATTTTAATTTTATTTCATTACCAACATTGCTTAAATATGTTAATATGTAGAAGAGTAGATTGTTTTAACCAGTCTAATGTTTCATAACAATTTTGTATTATTGTATTAAAATAATAATAATAACATCTACCACAGATTCAAGTCAATTAACTTGTAATATTTTCAATTAAACAATTAACTATGATATGATTAATTAATTAACATATAATTGATCAATTAATTGAAATGTAATTAACTAGCTACTGACTGAATTATTTGCAGAGGCGAAACGAACCGCCCCTCATCGAGCGACAGTCTCGTGGTTTGCTCGTCTGCACGACATGCCAGCACATGTCAGAAACAAGTTTCCATTGACGCCTGCATCTCCACCATCGCCATCTTGTCGTCTCCAGGAAATTTTCCTCAACACCATGAACTTTGAAAACAACATCGATTTGGAGACCGTGTTGAAAAAAATTTATGTCGGTTTTGTGCACGTCTTAACTAGAATAGAATGGATGGATGGATGTCTTTGTGAAGGAATGATAAGAAAAAATTTATATTTTATTATCGTTTGTAATTGCAACTTTTAGTAATTAGTAAATGAGGAATGTTGTTATTTTCATTATGAGGCATCATGCATTGCCACAATTAAACACGACATCGCTCAAAATTAGCGCTATAAAATTAGCTCTACAGGTGTCTCATTATCATTAGTAATGTTGCTAATAAAACAGAGTGATAAATATTTTGTGAGTTAATCATTCGTACACTGTCCTAATTACTTCAGTTTTGAATTTCATTTGCAGGTCACAGATATCTCCAGAGAGGACAACACTAGTAAAACTGGAATGAACTACGACAGCAGCTGCAACAATCATTTTGTCTTCAAAGGACGTGTGTATGATGGCAAAAGTATAACAGATGAAAAAAACAAAGAGAATCAAAATGATGGTGATGATGGTTTCAACCTGATTTCAAGGTCAGGTCGCAAGCTGAAGAAGGTCGTCATGGATCTCAGTCCCGATGTCAACTTGCAAAAAAACAGGAGAGCTTCCACTGCTACTGGTTGGTTGGTTGGTGGGCTGGCTGGCTGGCTGATTAAACGATTGGTTGGTTAGTTAGCAGGCTGGTTGGCTGGCTGGTTAAATGATTGGTCTGTTGGTCAAATTACCAGCTGTTTGAAATTTTGTATGATATTAGTGATGCTAATGGTTTAATTGTGATGCCAATGGTTTAATTGAAGCGTTATAATGTTATTAAATCATTTTAAATGCATTACATCGGTTGCAACCTTTTAGATTTAATGATAATTAACAGATGGCTATAGAGGATCATGCAAGAAAAGCTTGTTTGCCTCTGCCACCACTCCAAGCAACAGCACTGCTCTCTCCATAACGTGCACTCCTTCCGCACGATCCACAAGACACTCCTCCACAGCACCCGACACACCTTCCAGCAAACATTCCAACGACACGCCTCGAAGCACTGCCGCAAGAAGGAAAAGTACAACTAACCTTCAGAAGTCATCGTCTGCAGCTAAGGCTAAACCTAAATTGAAAGTCACAAAAAACACTGATGACGGTGATGACGTTGAGTATGATGATCTCCTTAGAGATGATGATGGTGATGATGATGAAGATGATGACAGTGATTATAATTTTGATGAAGCTGACCTGTCAGGATCCAGTACACCACCACCATCGTCGCCATCGGTGTCTTCGGATGGTGATGGTGGTGATGGGAGGAGACTACCTCATAGAAGATCAACTCGTTCTAAGAAAAAGTTTACAAAGATTAAAAATAGAAAGGTGGCAATTTTTTATATTTGTGTGTTTTGGTTTTTTAGCTTTTATTTTTTAATTTCATGTTCTTTATGTTTAGGTTGAGGTGTATGTGTGAGTTGACACATGAAATGTTGAAGGCATTCGTGTTGCAAGTGCTTCAAAAATAAAATATGAATGGATCAGTCGTTTTTAATCCGTCTCTCTTTAACTAACTTTAAATCACAAATTGTAGGTGCATATAGTCTGCATATGTCTGCTGTGTTGTTGTTGTTGTTGTTGTTGTTTGAGGTGTGGTGTCATCTATTTCACAAATAGGCAAAATAGGGATGGTAATGACATGGGATAGTTAGCTGGAACTGCCATGATAAATGTATTTAACGTAAGCAGTTAATCTGATCTCATATTACAACCTTCATATCAGACTTACATACATTTTTTCTTTCAACTGAAGGATTCATTCATCTGTTTATTTCAAAATAACTTGATGAGAAGCAGACAAGCAGGACCAACAGCGTATATGTAACACGCTCAGATGGTGTCGGAGAGTTCATAACTGGATGCAAGCTCTCATCCATCTCTCTCAAGGACAAATCCAATCTGCAGCTGATCAGAGAAAGGTAGAGGAGGATAATAATAATGATGGTGATGATGATGACAACTGAAACACTACACAATAACACGCTGCTACATACTACACAACCAACAACAACAAACGACCCAACCAACAACAACAAACTACACAGCCAACAACAATCACGTTTGAATGTAGATTGCATCTGGCAGTTGTTCCAGATGATCTACCATGCAGGGAGGAAGAGTTTGCTGACATCTACCAATTCATCAGGAACAAGATCATTGATAGGTCTGGAGGGTAAGTAACTATTACTACTGTTTGTTGTCGTTGTTGTTGTTGTTGTTGTTGTGTTGTTGTTGTTGTTGTTGTTATTAATAGAGAGATATTGATGATTGATATCACATTATTCATCATTAACATGTCAACAACGCACAGCAATACAGACAAGTACACAACAACCACTCTTTAAACAAACAACAACCACACCTTAGACAAACAACAACCACGCCACAAACAACTACCTCGTTCACTCTGACAAACAACTACCACGTTCACACAAACACTACAAAGCACAACTTAACGAACACGACAAAGGTGCATGTACATCTCTGGGGTGCCAGGGACGGGCAAGACGGCCACAGTCCGACAGGTGATGTCCATCCTGCATGACGAACACCTCAGCGGTGACCTGGCCATGTTTAAGTATATCGAGGTCAATGGCATGAAACTCGTCGATCCACACCATGCAAATGTCGAGATATTGAGGGTTGGTGAGATTGTCTGTGGAACTCTTGTAACACCTATTGCCTCCCCACTCACACACACACACACACACACACACACACACACACACACGTGGCAAATGATATCTGAGAACTTTTCACATTCTCATCATACATTTGTAATCAACTGTCATTTTTGTTTATCACCTTTTTGACGTTCAGCAACTGACAGGTCAGAAAGCCACTGCGGAACATGCATGTAACTTGTTGGACAGGAGGTTCAAAACAGAGGATCCCCATCGAGTGCCTGTCGTGCTGCTTGTTGATGAGGTTCTGCTGTTTTCTTTCGCCTCTATTGCTGTCTCGTGCTGCTTCATTGATTCCACTGTGGTTCTTTGTGTTTATGTGCTTTGTCGTTTTTGTAAATTTTTCTTTAAATATTTCGTCATTGTTTTAATATTAAAAACAAATGCCAGACTCATTTATTTAAACTCTCCAATGCCAACGCCACTAAATAATTGAACTGCAACCCGTATTTGATCGACCAGCTTGACTTATTGTGGACCCGCAAGCAGACGGTGATGTACAATTTGTTCGACTGGCCGTCGTACAAATACTCGCAACTGATTGTCATCGCCATTGCCAACACCATGGACCTGCCCGAGAGGATGCTGATGTCCAGGGTGGCCAGTAGGCTTGTACGTTAACTGCATCTTACTACGTTCGCAATGCTATGTGCCTCTTCTGTGTAACTACATATATGTGGTCATTGAACCTACATGTTAATTAATTAGTCGAACTGATGTGTATGATTGCAGATTGTAATTAATTGCAGGACATTGTTCATTCAATATTTATGAAAATTACACTAACAATATGATGAAGATGTTGATGGTGATAATAACGTTAATAATGGTGATATGAAGATGGATCAACAGATGCAATGGTGATAACAATAATGATGATGATGATGATGATGCCGTTGTAACACAGGGTTTGACCCGTCTGACCTTTCAGCCATACAACCATCATCAGCTGCAGGAGATTGTCCTATCCAGGATCCAGGGGTTCGATGCATTCCACGAAGATGCCGTCCAGTTGGTTGCCAGAAAGGTGATCATCGTCATGATGAATGAGATGATGACAACCGTAACAATGACAATTGTGATGATGATGGTGATGACGATTGTGGTGATGGCGTAGATTTGCTGGTTTCTATTATCGCCTATTGGTGGTGGCAATAATGATGAGCTTAATATTTTTGGTGATGTTGGTTAGGATGATAATGATGGGGATTTTGACTGAGGTGATAACGGTATTAATAACAATTATGGTTCTAGCTACATATTAGTGCTAGCAATGTTCCACACCAATATACAGAGACGAGCAAGCGACTGACATGCTAATAAATCAATTCTAGGTGGCGGCTGTGTCGGGAGATGCTCGGCGAGCTCTTGAAATATGTCGCAGAGCAACAGAGTTGGTCACTGGTAAGGAGCAATTCATCAGCATGGTGCATGTTGATGCTGCTATCCAGGAGATGTTCTCAGCTCCATGTATGGTGGCTGTCAGGTTGGGAAATGGTGAATTAGTTGGTTGATGAGTCACTGGTTAATTTCTAAATGCATATTTATATGATAGGAATGAAAATGGATGTTGGAATTTTTCACGTTAAGTGTCGGTACTAGACTAAACCTCTATATAATTTGCTGAAACTTCCGTGTAGATATACACTTTGGACAAATGATATAAATATAAATGAATAACCTTGTCTCATCAAATACCAACTAATTTCTTTAAAACCAGGCGATATGTGATGCAAAATCCTCCAATTGAATGGTTGATGTGTTAAAGGTTGTTTTGAGTAATAAAAATTATTTAATATTTGTCTATCGCACAGAACTTCATCTTTCTTTGAGAAAATGTTCCTCAAGTCTCTTCTAAGTGAATTTCAGAGGACTGGTATTGAGGAGGCGGTTCTGGCCAATGTTTACACACAGTTTGTAGCCCTATGTCGATTTGAAGGTTAGATGTTTGGTAGCGTGCTTATGGTAAATATTTATTGCAATAGTTACATGCGTGCCCCCTAGCTGTCAAACTTTCAAAGATGCAAACCTTAACTAACTAATTAATAATACTAAGCTACTAGAAACTGCTCAATGAAATCAGGACAGTTTCAAATTCAAACCTTCTCTCGACAGCAAACAACTGGCATCGTCCTAGCAAATTTGTTTATTTATCATTGCAGGTGTAACCTCCCCCAACCTGTCGCAAGTATCTCGCATGTGCAACAAACTTGGAGGTTTCAAATTATTGTTGACGGACTCAAGCAGGAACGATATTCACCAGAAGATTCGCCTCAACATGAGTCAAGATGATTTATCCTACGCTCTCAAACAAGATAACTCATGAAAATCACTGTTCTTGTATATCATGACAGATATACGAAACACAAAACTAAACGAATATTCTTTTTAAAAGCTGGCTGTTGCAAGCATAGTCGAAAAAAACTGCATAATTCATCGAAACTGGTTCGCAGTGGCCTGTATATAAAATAACCTTTATTCAGAATGTGTGATGATTGCACGGCCTCAGCTCTTTTCATTTAAATTATTTAAATTTATTAAAGTTTGTGCCCCTTGTTGCATCAGTTTAAATTTTCATTATTTAATTGATTAAAATTTTGAGCATTATAATGAAGTCAATCACTTTCAACTTTAGATTAATTTATAGTTTTTAATAATCATCAGACGCTACATAAAAATTTTTCACGTCGTTGCTGGCTTAGCTATTAATCACATTTTAGAAAATTTGCTAATTAATTTTTTTTTAGACGTATCAGTGTTGTTTAGTTGTGTTTTCAAATTATTTCATATATTTAAAACATTTTTGGCAAATTTTTCTTGTCTTCCCATAAAATGTTCAAGTCTATACTTTGACTATTTTACAATGCCGCTTTTTGTGTTAACCTTGCTCAAAATGTGATTTATAAAATTTAACAACATGTCAGACTTATCTTCATATTGTAAACAAACAAGCCAGAAACAATATTTCACACAAATCATGTTGGTTAGTAGAATGTTGAGAATAATGTATATATTTATATAGAGAGTAAGTTCTGAACACAATTTGATAAATTTGACTGGTTATAATGAGCATTAAAAGTTCAGAACTTGTAAGTAAACAACTGCCATTTCAGCCATTCAATTTAAGGATTCTCTCAACCTGCTTCACAAATGCTGGAAAACTTGAATCACACAAACAAATGTCAATGAAATCTTTCAAATATGCTTCAATATCACTGTCAATAGAAGTCTGATGATAAATCATGGGCAAATAGCTTGTAGATGTAGGATTAATAACAGCTTTGGCAAGTTGCTGTGTGGATGCAACCCCATCCTCGGAGTTCAGAAGTTTCAGGCTATTTTTATCTTTCGTCCTGTTTGCATCTTTAGGGACTACATACGACGACAAAACTTTACAGCACGCTAAGCAGCTAACGACGGCAGTTTCTTTTGAATTATCCATGAACTTCAACCTAAACTTGTGCGTGAAACGCTGGTGTCTGATGTGAAATTGCATGTTGTCATTGTGGTACAACACCTGTACCTGGTCGGACGCGTTTAAGAGACAGACGTCTTCTTGAACTACATTATTACAAGTGATCAACAGGTGGTGGGTGTTGTAGAAAGTTATCTCGAGATCCTTGATCAATCCGTCAATTTCTTCCAACTCGTGCTGATCATCATTGTTGATCCTCGAACGGGCATATTTTTTTAGCTTATAGCGAAAAATTAAACTGGACATTGCCAAGTTAGAATAAATTTATTAAAAAATCATTAAGTTTAATTATAGAAAAACAACTCGGCCCGAGACCAAACGACAACTAGACCGAAGGTCTGAAACGCGTTTCAGTTTTTTATAAGTGGTGTCAATAAAGATACTAAATGACAAATTGTATAGAAAGACCCACTACAGACATACTTCATTGGAACTCGCGTCGTGAGAATGGAACTGTAGCACTTGAACGTTTGTATTGAAAAGAAAGCATTTGATTTGCATCATAATACAATCCTCCCGCCAATTTAGGTAAGTATAGAGAAGTGTATAAATTTCACAGATTTTTTTTAACTTTGAATTTTATTTTGATATATTAGAATTTTTTAAACCATTATAATGTATAAATGTTTAAGTTACGCAAACAGGTCAATTTGTTATAACAGTTTTCTAATATTATTGTTCCAATATTATTCTAGTTTGAAAATTTCATTCCGGCCAGTACATTTTTGTTTACTGACATTTTTTATCTTAAAAAATTTCATGCTTCAACCAAGAATTGAAAAGTCGAAAAACGGTTAAAAAATAAAATAAATAAACAAAGGTATTTAAACGCATGGAATTATATAACTGGAAGCGCCCTACCAGCGTTTTAACATTGAAAATTTTTTTCAACGGGCAAGTTACCTCTGGAAGCAAGTTCCTAAAAATTAATTATTCATGAGCATTTTGATTTATTTTTAGAAAAATCTGAGATATAATTAGAAAAAATCTTGGCCTTCCCGAAGTTATGTTAATGACTCTTTGCCGATCTACATTCAGCTCGTTTGTTAAAATTTATTTCGTTTTCAACATTCCGTGAAGTTTTAGGTTTTATAATGTGCCGTATTTGGTCGTTAAATTAAATGAATATTGCCATTTTTTTGATGCATCGGAAAAATCGAAGATTTGTAATAAGTTCGTTAGCGATCCTCATTTTTCTGAAATAAAGATTTCTTCATTCATTTTCCCAGCACCCACGAATCACGATGATTTGACAAATTTAGAGTAAGAATCATTCCTAAATTAAATTAGAATCTAGAAAACGAAAAGAAGTGGGTAAAAATTTTATTGTAAAAATGAAATGTTATTATTTAAAAAATATAACTCATGATCAATTTATATTGTTATAAATAAATTAATCAACTAATAATTTTTAAATTAAGGTGTAATTCCTGTGCATATGTCCTAAACTAGAATCTTTCAACACCCCAAAGCTTACAATACAAAGGAATATTTGCTTTCAACATAACATACCCAAACCAAATTTAATCACAGAGGAGGTTTTTAAAATTTCTTTTGGTAGTAAAAGCAAACAATCTTTTTTTTCTGTTTTAACTTTAAATGCTATGATATATATATAATTTATTAATATATTAAATTAATTATATAATAATTTGTTAAAATCAAATTCTTTAACTTAACTATTTCAACTGTAATTGACATTAATATATTAAAAAAATAATAGTTTAATTAATATTAAGCTAACATGAAATTCATTATGCTATTGATTTAATTAAATTTTATAAAACTGTTGATTTTTAATAGAATAGGTATGGAATGTTTAATAATTCTTAGTTTAACATTACTATTTATAAAATAACCCTGAAGGTGCTAGATCATGAACATGTATACTTTTATATTTATGTGTAAATTGTTATATTTCTAGCTTGTTGATTATAAAACATCTATCTTGCTATAATTAGTAATTAACTTAACTCGTAATTAGATCAGTCTTACTTTTTTTATTTCTGGATTTCGGTTTTGTTTATTTGTTGTATAACTGCAAAATGTTTGATTTACATAATTATAAATTTATCTTTCAACTATCTTGAAAAGTGAAATATATATATATATATATATAATAATAATATATATATAAGATAAAACTAAGGTTGTAGAATTTGCTTCTGATGTAATCTATTAGAAGCACTGTACAAATTCAATAAAACAATTGATTTAATAAATTTAAATAGTTGCATTTTATTATTTAATTTACTTTTATTAAAACTGCATGTTAATAGAAAACCCTTTAGTTAAGTTAAAACGTCTTAATGTTGTATATGATGATTTTTTTTATTAATTCATAATAGTGGTTTGCATTCTGTACATCATTGAAATGATTTTCCATGTTAAATAAATCTTCGTTGACACATTGTGGGAGTATGTTGCTTTCAATTACAAGTTTTTTCTTAAAACAATAATTATTTATTTTTAATAATCTTTCTGATTCTTGGCAGATCGGAAAATCATTAAAATTTATTTTTTTTACCAGAAAATAAATAAATGTATCATTTTACTTTTAATACTCCTTTTGAGGGATATGTCAATTGTCCAAGCCATTTTTCTGAAATTATTTGTAATTAAGTTTTAGTTCAGATATTGAGATATATAAAAAAAAACCTTGAGTTTTGTAAATGTAACACCATCTAAATTTTTCAAACTTAGTAAGTAGGCTTTCATTTCATAAAGTTTATCTATAGAGGCTGTCCAGGTTGCTCTTTGCAATGTATTGCTTCCATTCTCTATCCAGTATCAGTTTGCTGTTCAATATATGGAAAAGATCATTGATGTTTTTCACAAAAGCTATTGTTTCAGAAACGTCAAAAAAAAACATAAAATCCGTTTAAGAGTTCCAATGATTTAGCCACAGAGCAACTAAAGACTCAAGATGCATATTTAACTTTCATCTTATGCTTTTCAAAATTTACACGATTTTTGGTTAATTTATTTTTTAGTTTCATTTTGATTTGTTGCTGATAATTAACTAAGTTTACGATATGATTCCATTTGATTGGATTATTATTATAAAATATCATATAAGAATGAAACATATTCCTCATTAATTTCAGCATGTGGTATGCATCAAATATGATATATATTTTCTGGCCAGTTGTTGGGGACAAGAAACTTGTTTGCATGTTTGGAAATGTGAAAGAGCATCCAAGCAATCCACATGCCGAAACATTAGTGGCCAACACCCATCCATTACCAGTGAAACAACCCTAAAAAATAAATATAATGTATAAAAATTTAAACATATCTTTAAGAAAAACAAATGTTGTTTACCCTAACTCCAGCATTACGTAACTTATCAATGGCTTTCTCTATAAAATCTTTCAACTTGTGAGATGATAATTTATTTGTATAAAAATAAGCTATTGAATGCCTCCAAGCTTCTCTCAGACTAACAACATAAAAAATCAACATCTCTGAAGCAACTATGTCTTCATTCCCATCTCCATAGTTAACATATCCAATAAAGTCATCTTCACAAATAAACAATGCGTTTGATAATTTATGCTTAACATTTAACATCAATAAAATTAAATAAATTGAAAACAAATGTTTATGGTGAAATGGGAAACAAAAAAAAATCAAGAAATAAATAAAATACACAAGGAATAAACTAGCATATGCTACCAAAATATGCTATATTTTAAACTCACAATTTTACAAACAAAATATATTTTAAAAAACCTACCAATTTTCTTATTATACGTTATTTGAGGCTTTATTGATATCGGATCAAGGATTAAAGAGCATTTGCAATATTTTATTTGCTGTACATATTTCTTTATATAGCAATATTAGTTTACAGAATATCATTATTAACAAAATTTTACTTGTTCAATGTTCTCGAGTGTGGCAGTGTTAGTCCACTTTTTCTTAAAAATTGGTATGCATGAGGACCATGAAAATGCAGCTGCATATAAAAGGTCTTGTAACTATCATTATATACTTTGTTAACCCTTTTTAAATGGTATGAGTTTTTTATCTAGAAGCAAAAAAAAAACAAAAAATTAATCAAAATTTCAATTCATTTTGCTATGGTTACATAACATAAAACCTTTGTATGTAGCTAATTCATTTTTTAATTTATTACATTCATTCATAAGTTTTCTTATTGTTGCCTGCAGCATTGTGATTCTTGACTTGTAATACTTTGATTGCCTTTGCTGTTGCTTGATGAGATGTGCATCCATTAAGCAAAACGTCTAAATATGATTTAAGTTTGAAAGTAAATAGCTGCATTTAAAATTTTTCATCATATATATATATATAATATATATATATATAATATATATATATATACCCAATAAATTAAAATGAAGAAACTCTTTGTATTCTGTATTTCTTATGACAAAAAGCCATTTTACAAGGGCATCCTAATAATAATAATAAACCCATAATATAAAAACAATATAAAAAATATTTGAACATTAATTAACGATAGTTAAAAAAATAAAAAGTCAAAAATTTTAAATAAAAATACAAAAAAGCAAAGCCTCTTTTCTTCTACTGGTCTGGGCCTAGTGTCTCCTGGCACAATGTAACATTTTTAAAACTTTTAAACAAATAAACTTTATAAAATCAAAATGGATCAAATAATAAATGATTCCAAAAATTTTATATAATTCAGTTAAATTATTAAGTTAAAAATCGATTAAAAATGCCGTAGAATGATTTTAGCAGCAAAAAACGTTTACAAGAATGCCGCCGGTGGCACATTAACAGGGAAGAAGCTAAATATAGATTGGAAAACGGAAAAACCCATTGACAATTTGGTGCTAAAAAAGTTTGCTTCCAAGTTTCCTGACCTTGAGATGAAGGTCAACACTATAAAGCCATTCTTATATATAATTCAATGTTTAAACGTTAATTAAAATTTAATCCATCAAAAGCAACCATTCCACTAACGTTCCACTAACATATAGATACTTCGTTATTTTGTTGTCCTATAGCTTTTGGACACACCTAAGGCACATACAGCATATTGAAGACCAGCAAAATTTTATTTTTAAGGTTATATAAACCTGAGTTTGAACACCATCCATCACCGAAGGCATGCGTCATCATGCCTACCTACATATAATTAACCTACGTTACAAAGAATCTCCTGCTATATTTTAATTTTTTATATTATTTATTAATGCACAAAATGTGACGTAAAACGCGACGTCAAAACTGACGATTTTGTATTCAAATTATTCAAACTGGTGAAACAGGTACAAATCTTTTTTCTGTGCAATGTACTTGAAAAAAAAGTCAAAATTTTTAGACGGGGAATTGTCAGACATTGAAGATTTGAATTTAGAAAGGTTTTTCCATGCAGCTGATGTAGGAAACGTACAACGGAGGGGTTCTCGTGAGAACAAGACTGTGCCGGTAGTCATGCGTGTTTTAATAATTGCATATGGTGTAGGAGGGTATTGTAGTTGCATGGAGCGTCCTTCTGCCGTTTTATCCAGTGGCGGATCTAGGGCTGCCAATGCTCCCTCTGTTGGGAGCAGTATTTGTATTAAAAGTCAGTAAAACTTTTTGGCTTAACAGAAAAAGCACTATTTTTACTAAAAAATTTAAAATTTGAATATTTTCAAAACTCTGGCCCGCCCCGTCGATGTTTTCTAGATCTGCCACTGATTTTAAGGATAACTTAAGGATAAGGATATGCGCATTTGAAATATAAGATTGTTTAAAATAAAAAACTTCTTTGTTTTTAATATAATTGTTTATTAAAGAAACGTTAATTGAAATATTAGAAGACACGTTAGTCGACAAAAAGTGAAAAGAATACACGTGCAAGTAAGTCAAGTTAGCAATGAAAATAAGATTGTCTGAAACTATGGAAAGTCATAAATGTATTGAAACATATATAATATACATATATATTATTTCAACATTTTCCCTTGTTTCAAAACATTTTATGACATTAGTCCCATATGTCCACACAGGAGTTTCAGTCTGACTCTGCTTTGAATGGCTTCCTCGTATGTATTTGGTTCATGTACATCTAATAAATATGTCTCAGCCTGCATCACATAATCATCTAACTTCTTAGGTTTCTGCAAGCTTGACCTATCTCTGAGTTGAACTTTAACTGAATTATCTATAATCTTCTCAGTGCCATCTGTAATTTCTTCTTTTGAATCATCATTTCTACTACTTGAGTCATTTTCTGATTTGCAATTGATTTGAGGATCTGTTGTAAAATCTTTTTGAGTCTGATGTTCAAATCAGGGCTTTGGAGCGGAGCTGGAGCGCGGAGCAACCATATTCTGGTCGGAGCGTGAGCGGAGCACACAAATTTTAAGTGCTCCATGCTCCAATAATAAAAAAAAATATTTAGTTAAAAAATAAAAAAAATATTATTTTTTAATATTTTGTATCTTTTAGTTCAACTCAAAAAATTTTTTTTGTTATGATATTTAGAATCTTTCATAGCAAAGCAATGGCTTCCTTTTATACGCCATTTGTAAACACTAGTTAACTTTTTCACTAATCTTTTTTTCTGCAATCGTAAATTCGTAATCGCACATCAAAGGTAAGATTCTTATGAGAATTTTTTAAATAATATAATTTTTAATTTAAAAAGCAATACATTACTTCTTAACAAAATTTAAATTTTTAATTAAAATTAAATTAGGTCCGGATATGACTTCTAACCAAAATTTGTGTCAATCACCTATAATCGATAGTCGCTTTTTGAAAAATGATCTGGAAAATATATTTGAGTTTGAAGAAGAAAATGGACAAAAAAAGTCAGCTAGATGTAAGCTAAAAAATGATGATGTGCAATGCAATTTTCAGGCAATGGGAACAAGTGTGTCAAAAAAGTTTAATCTTTGGCGTCATGTGAAACGTAATCATCCTAAAATCTATGATGAGTTAGTAAAACAAAAA